ACTGACGATGGTGGAAAATGGGGCACCTCCAATAAAGGAGGATGGGATACCAGTGAAAGATGGGGAAGAGACGGCTGCACAACATGGGACATATCAGGTAGTGGATGGGGAGACTCAAGCAGCGAATGGGGCACCTCAGGCCACCAAGAAGAACAAAAGGGGGAACAAAAATAAGAACCACACCACCTAGTGATTCACTCGGTCGCCCTCCGCACCAACCAGCACCACCACCCATAATCTACCCTGAAAGGCCGCACTCTGATCTATTATCTACATCGACTGGGGATCCAAACCCTCAACCCCACGCATCACCACCTACCTGAGCTCAACGAACGAGGCATCAACCAAGGCACTACTGAAAACACCAACATCCCATTCTCAGACATCCTGGACCGTAGCTTCCCTGTGCTCGCACTTTCAAGTACGATAGAAGAAAAAGAAGCAGAACCTGAGCCTGGACATGAGAAAAGTCGAAAGAAGCCCACGCGTGCTATTTTAGCACTCCAGGGGTCCGCGTCACTAACGATCTTTGGCACCAATGCCTGAGGCATCCCTCGCGCCAAATGCTCAACAGATGCCTCACCGCCGAACTATTCGCGCCTGAAGTTATCCTGCACCTTGACAGTACCGAGTTCAAAACTACAACACAGCCTTACATCTGCACTATCTGCCATGGTCGTTCACCAACCCTCCCTTGCTCGAACTCAGCTCCCACAGGTACTCAAAGCTGTACCAGCTGTACAATGACTCTCTTGTTGTTGGCCTCAGCGGCTTTACCGACGAAAGCTATACCCTGACATTCGTCAACGCAAGCATGCACACATATGGATAGAAAATGCCCAATACTACAGCAGAGCATATGAAGCATTCTACCTATGGCCGACGCATGCGCAACAACAATCAAGGATTTTTTTTTTTCAGATCTGGCATATGAAGCATCTGTATTCTGCGACAAAAACAAATCAGGAGTTCCTTGGCGAGAAGGGCATACTATATCGAATTTCCCTTCCCTACGCATACCACAGCAAGGTGTCGTTGAGGGCACCAACCATACACTCACGACAAAAGTGTGCGCACCCCTAAAGCAGTAAGGACTTGCCCCCATCTAATGGCAGTATGCTATGAATCATAGCATGCTCTGATGGGACCTCACAACAAAGAATGGCGAGCTGCCATGGATGCATATATGAAAGCGCTGGAGTCCCGCGACACCTGGGTGCTCGTGGATTGAGCCGCAGTAAAATGAAAGAGAGTGTTATCAGGGAAGCGGGTATTTCATGTGAAGACTTCTGCCGACGGGTCAATATAGAGATTTAAGTCACGATGGGTCATGCGCGGCTAGATCAACGCCACGGGATTGATGTTGATAAAACCTTTGTAAGCTGAGACACCTCTGTGCGGATTACTCGCCATCGCCACTGCCAAACATCTCCTAATCCAACATATCGGCGTCTGGAACACACTGATCGACACTATAATATACGTGAAGCAACTGCACACCTACAGTGAGACTCCAGAGTGTGTTAGCTTAAAATATCCATGTATGAGATCAGGCACGCGCCACGACTATGACAGCAGCAAATGCACAAAATCCTGCTTAAAATTGGCTTTACCTATCTACCACATGACCTACGAATGTATCGCCTTTAGTGGGGCTATATCCTGCTCACCATGTACGTAGACGACCTGTTGTACACTGGAACGAGCAACACCTTGCTCGGTCAGTTTGAGAAGAATCTAGGAAGCCGCGTTGACATCACCAACTATAACGCGACACATTTCCTAGGCCTCAACATCTGATGCACTCTTGAAGTGCGCTGAAGCACTTCTAAAGCACTTCACAATCACACCCGTACCACTCTTATCTCCTTCTGCACGCCTGGACCGGACCGCAAACCTGATGTCTCCTACATTGCAATCCAACTTGCCCAATACCCCCATGTTCTTATTCCGGCTTGAGACAGGGGGGCCAGTCTCTTGGAATTCACATAAACAGGAGCCAATTTCCCTATCGTCAGCCGAAGCATAGTTTATCGCCGCTACCACTGCTGCTCGCAAAGGCGTACCAACATAAGCTCTTGTAGGAGGCAAAAATTGCGACACCGCTAGGACCCCCTCCATCATATGGCCTCGATAAGAGTCTTAAAAATAGGAGGGGGCGGGTTTGGGGGAAAAAAACTTGCTGCACGAAGTCCATAACGAAGCTCGCGTCCATCCAACCTCTTTCATGGGCGCAAAACAACATGCCTGCATAGGCAAGCTATAATGAGTTAATGATATAAAGGATATGGAAAATAGAAAGCTAGCGACATGAAACCACCCCTTACTTATAGGGACTCAGACGTTCGAGGTGGTATTCCTTTTGTAAGTGACCATCGGCTGAAGCTTGCGTCCATTACCAGCCATGACTAGCATTACTCTCATCTGCTCCTTCTCGTATCTGGTTTGCACGATGCCCTCCCACAGTGATGTAAAGTCCACTCGTAGAGCATCTCCAGAAACAATGGAGTTTGGTCAACGCTGACCATTTTCCACTCGTCAATGCCGTGCTCCACGACCTCCTTGCGACAAAATCTCCAGAAACTTTCGCACTTCTTACAATCTGCAAATGCACGGAACAACACGTCAGTTAGTGAATTGAACCGAAGCTAGAACAAACAAGAAGTCATGCCCAATCTTGGTCTTCACACGAACTGCGAGATCCCATCTTGCGCGGAAGCACTACGTCCAGTATGGCGAGGTGCGCTAGTCGACCTTGGGGTGACGGTGCTTCATCGACGCCCAGCTCCATGCCTGCTGGAGTTTCAGCCCACACGCTTGGTGGGCTGGTGGACAACCACACGATTGGAAGGCCAGCTCACACGCTTGGTGGGCGAGGAACTGCTTGTAGACCGGCACCTCCATGTCGGGATAGTTTGCCTACCAACTGCCACCACCGAGACGAAGCTGGTACCAAGAGGCATTTCTGATTTTCTCCGCCACCTTCTACCAATTAAGGATGCTGATCGGTTTGACGCCAGCCATGTGAGCTCTAGCACGCAGTGACAACATCTCGTCTTGCATCCGCTGCATCTACTGTTTCTTTTCTTTCATCGTCAGTTATGCACTATGGTGATTCGTAATCCTACATTGGGAATCAGGGGCTTGTGCATCACCATTGGTGGGAGACTGTTCTTCCTCGCGATGAACGTCAAATAGGAACTATGGCAGCGGGTAAGACGGAACGGCAATGTCAGGGTCATCTTCGTTCACGGTGACGTCTTCAGCTAAGGAGGTCTTGGCACCATCGAAAGGGAGAGGAAAAACATCCATTGTACTCGTCGGTTTAAAAAGGTATGGGAATCTGGAGGGAAGCAGTAACGCTGGGGATAGTGCAGGCAGTGCTAGAGGAGCCGGATGAGCGGGAGGGGTTGCAGTGCGTTCACCAAAGCATCACTAACCACTTTCATCCTTATGAGCATGTGAAGGGCGAACATTGTGGGGGCCGGAACATCCTGAGAAGTGGAGAAATGTAAAACTCCCCATGGCTGAGAGAAGGGGAGGGACGAACGATGAAACCCAAGACGAGATTTGGGAAATGTCGTCTTCACGTCCGGACTACCTCCCTTTGAAGACGGGGTGGAGGATGATGTGAGGGTCACGTGGCTCACATTTCCTCCTGAAACCCTTCCAGGTTGGTAGGGCTCACGTCTCTTTCTGGAGCCCTTGTCAACTTAGTAGGGGGATTGATCCACTATGGCCAGGTGCATTCCATAGTGCCCCGTGAATGCTGCTCGCAGTCAAGTGGGCATACCGCCATGAAAATGGCGCCTTGGAAATCTTGCCCCGATGCCAAATGTGTGGCTCGTGGCAGTTTTCGTGCTTTATCACAGTCGAAATTCGAATCCACGACAATAATTCATACATGCACCCCTGGTCGAGAATTGATTTCTCGTAGCGGATCCGAGTTCAATAGTTCATGTGAATTTCAAAGATGTTTAAGGATGGCAGGTGATACCATGGCCTGGATGGGTATGGGAATAGGACTCGATATGAGTATGGGGATGAGACCAGGTTGTATGGGGATGGGAGGAGTGGGATGTGACTATGGATGGGAGGAATGGCATGTGACAATGGATGAGAGGAATGGGATGTGATTGTAGACGTGGAAATGGGTGTGGGACTTGGGATGTGCTTGGGGGATGGTAGGAAGGATTGGCAAGGAGATGGGACTAACGATGATGTTTTGGATGGCACTAGGGATGGTGGGCATGGAGACATGGTACTATATATAGCATTGGTACGGTATGAGAATAGGGGGACCTTCTGTGATGAGAGGCTGTAAAGTGGGGTCCATATAATGGGCACATACGGTAGTGCAAATGTGGCGCTCACAAAAATCGAGAGCCAGACGAGATTCTGACACAAAGGAGTATAGGTGTGAGACCGGGGTACCTTACGAGGTGAGGGGTTGTAAAGTGGGGGTCCACACAATGGGCATATATGGCAGTGGAAACGTGACATTAACAAAAACCGAAATCCATACAAGGTTCTGCCACAAATGACAAGCACTGCTGTCCCATGTTTGGTGTGCCTGCAAATCCGAAGTACTCTGTGTACCTGTGGTATTTAGATTAGACCTTTATGTACAAGACAGTAACATAAGCAGCCCCAACAAGATTATCCAATTCAAATCATATACAGATGAATGCACACCACCAAAACAACCAGAAAACCAATGCTGCCATTACTGTTCACTCCTCAATTCCGACAAACGGCCTTTCTTTTAAGCGGCACCATCGAGCCAAGACTGAAGTTTGTGCCTCACACCAGCCACTGCAAAGTCTGAAACACGGGCGGTGCTGGCCCCCCCAAGGAATGCAAATGTTTTTGCCGGGATCAAGGGTCCAACCATTCCCTGCTGTGCTGATGGCGCAACCATTCCCTGCTGGGCTGGCATTCGGAACACTTCATGTTGAACTGAGCCCACTCTAAGCACTGAGTTAGCTGGGAGGCGTGCTTTAACACATCGGCTCAAGGGTGACCTCTCCATAGGGCCTGCACAAAGCATTGCCTGCAGGGGCGCTTGCGTGGGTTCAAGTGGCATTATGCGATTCGAGACCTGTGGCAGTAGGGGGATTTGGACCTGTTGCCCAGCTGAAGCTTCTTGTGTTGTATCTGCATCGCTTATAGTGGCCATGGCTTCTGCACCTCGCGTACACACGCCCCCATCAACCATGAAAGCTGCAACAGTTAGGTTATCGCCAAAAAGTGGCAGTTGACCAGAGGAGGATCGAGCCACTGATGCATTCGCCATTTTATTCTCAGCCAATCGGTATTGGAGTTTGGCTGCATAGTCAGGTGGGTGAGGGTGAGCAAGCACAGAAAGGAAGTGCTGTTCGAGGCATGCCACTTCAGCCTTCACATAGCTTGTGCTGTAGGGCTTGCAACCGGTCCTGCAGGGCTTGGTGCTGCAGGACTTGTAACCCGCGCCACAGATGCTGGTTAGCTTGTCAGAACGTATGCTGCTCGCTCTCGTCGTGGGAATGGGTAACACGGGTGTTGTAGGTGTTGCGGAACCTTCCCCATCACAAAGCCACGTGTCTGATGGCATAACGATGGTGGGCAGCTCACCAATCTTGGTCACGGGAATAGGTGACACGGGTGTTGTCGGCGTTGCGGAACCTTCCTCGTCACAAAGCCATGTGGCCGAGGGCATGGCAATGATGGTTAGCAGCTCAATGATAATCGGCAGCACCGCAATGCAGGGCGCCTTAAGAATGGTGGAGGTACGAGGCTCCTGATGCATCTCATCCTCCCTGTGCTGGCAGGCAGAGCAGCAGGCACAGCCATGGGCAGATGCAGAGGCGCAGCCACAGGCAGAGGCAGAGGTACAGCCACGGGCAGAGGCAGAGGTACAGCCACGGGCACAAGCACCCTTGCAGGCACATACAGCTGGCTCGGTCCAAACTGCGCCCGTGGCATACTGCTCCGATTCGCTGCTGCACTCACACGCCCACAATACACAGGCCATGTCGGGCTTATTTCCCCTCCGAACCCGTGAGGCACAGCCACAGGCACGGGAACGGGCAAGGGGATGAGGAGGAGGAGGAGGAGGAGGTGGTGTGTCCATGGCAGATGCAGGGCGCTTTTGATGCCGATGAGCAGGCACAGGTACGGGCGAATGAGGAATCCTCGTTTCAGCAGCACCGCACAAGGACATGGAGGCTTGACTTGTTAGAGGTTGTGAGGTGCTGACGCTAGGGCTGGAAAGAGCAGCAGGCACAGCAACAGGCACAGCAGCAGGCACAGTCCTGAGAATGTCTAGGGCTGCAAGGCGTTCTTCCACAGATTTGGCAGTTGACAGCAGCAAGGCCGTGATATTGCGTGACTGATGATGATGTTGCTGCTTGAGTTGCGTTTGCTGCTGCTTTGATGGCGGTTGTTGCTGCTGTTTCTTCTGCTGTAGCAGCAACTGCTGCTGCTGCTGCTGCTGCTGCTGCTGCTGCTGCTGCTGCTGCTGCTGCTGCTGCTGCTGCTGCTGCTGCTGCTGCTGCTGCTGCTGCTGCTGCTGCTGCTGCTGCTGCTGCTGCTGCTGCTGCTGCTGCTGCTGCTGCTGCTGCTGCTGCTGCTGCTGCTGCTGCTGCTGCTGCTGCTGCTGCTGCTGCTGCTGCTGCTGCTGCTGCTGCTGCTGCTGCTGCGACAGTGCATCCTGCTGAGGCTGAATCCATGGAGCATCGGATGCAGCACAGCTGTCAGCCAAGGATGAGTCGTACGTCAACTTAAAAAGCATCTGCAGCGCATCCCAATGGGCGAGAAGCCCAGGAGCATGCGATGCAGACCGGCCATCAGTCACACCAGCACAGCCGTCAGCCTTAGTAGCACAGCCATCAGCGACAGGAGCAGAGCCATCAGCGACAGGAGCAGAGCCATCAGTGACAGGAGCAGAGCCATCAGCGACAGGAGCAGAGCCATCAGTGACAGGAGCAAAGCCATCAGCGACAGGAGCAGAGCCATCAGTGACAGGAGCACAACCATCAGTAACAGAAGCACAACCATCGGTCATAGCAGCACAGCCGCCCGACACAGCAGCAACCACAACAGGCCTCGGTGGTGTTGGCAGCATGGCTTCTGAACGGCTGTGCTCCAGCTTCTCATTCCCGTCCCCCTTTCGAGGCGCCCCAAAGGAGTGATGCACCAATCCATCCTTCCCCTCAAGCGGCGGCACTTGGAACCCAAAGAACCGTTCTGCATTCCCCCCCACTCCGCATGCATGATGGTCGTCCTTCTGAGGCGACTCAAGGGAATGGTGCAACGACCTTTCTTGCCCTTCACAAGGAAGAATGAGGACGGGATTCTTTGGAATGTTTTTCACACGAGCTGCTGTCTGCTCCTCCTCATCCTCCACCGTCTCTTTATCACCATCTGATAGAAGTCCCACATGGGTGAGACTGTGCCGCAGCAAAAACTCTTGGAGCTCTTGAACCAAAGGCGATCTTGCTCCCAGCAGTGAGAAAACCTCATCCGTCAAATCGGCAGCCCAATCTGCATCAGCAGCACCACCACCCTCAGCAGAAGCAGCAACTACAGCATCAGCATCAGCGTCGGAAACCCTAACAGCATCAGCAGCAACAGAAACAATACCTGCACCACCATGAGCAATAATAGCAACCACGCCAGCTCGAAAAGCAGCATCACCAGCACCACCATCAGCAGCAACAGCAGCACAACCAGCGTCGGACCCACTGCCAGAAGCGATCACTCCCACGCTCTCATGCCGCAAGGCATGCACAACGGCCTTCAGTTCTCCACCAGAAGCAGCAGGTCGAACGGTATCAGGCGCCGCAGAGCCATCCACACCATGTAATTCCGGAAGGTTGAGGCGGCCAACATGGCAGTTCGTATCGCTGACAGGAACGTCAGGGTGGTAGTAGGGTGAGCGACGGTTGGGAACTACGGGGTGGTTGTGGAGGCGGCTTCGGTAGGTGACGTGAATGGAGCCGGGGCAGTTGATGTCGACAGTCTTCCTGGCGGGGCAGCGAGGAATGGCCTTTGACATGCTGCACTTGTAGTAGCATCTGCCGGGGTAAGAGGGTGGATTCCGGCGCACAGCATAAGGGCATACACAGAGTCAAAGAGTCAGATTGCCTTAGAAAGATTGCACTTGTAACACCTGCTAGGGCAAGAGGGTGGATTCCGCGCAGCAGCATAGTAAGGGCATGATACAGAGTCAACAGATTCAGCAGAAGTGCACAGAGTCAACACGAGTCAACGAAAGTAAATGGGGTCAAACACAGCAAGCCAATGAAACACTGACCTGGTGGCACCCGAATGGCGCACTTTCTTCCGGCCGTACTTGAGCCAGCTGTGTCCATCCGAGGCCACCACCTTCGCCGCCACCTCCTCCCAGGAGGCTAACCCGCGGAGCCCAAGCTCCTGCGGGCCGAGTGATAGCTTGTCACAGCCGCCCCACTCTTGCTCACGGCCAGCCGCTTGCCGAGGATTCGCCAAGTGCTCGTGCAAAGTCGGTGCAGCCAACTCCAATGCCATCGACACGGTCTTTGCTGTTAGAACGTTCGTCGAAGTGAGGCGATGAAGAGCCCTAACCCAGCCGTGTAACTCCGAACGGACAGTCTAACGAGGAATTCGATTTCCCTAGTTTTTAGACTTTGGAAAACAAAGAAAAAAGGCGGACTGCGTGTGATGCCTGTACTGGCAGTACCAGAACCACTCGCCGAGTTGAATAAATAAGAGAAATATAGCGAGAATCTTTTAGTCTGTCAGGTAGTACTCCACAGCAGGCACTAAATCCATGCACAAAATTGACTTTGCCCAGGCGTCATTGCACACGTGTGATGACCAGGAATTGCCTGAGGTTGTTAAATGTTTGGGATGCAGGGAGGCTATGCTCACGCTGCTGCGGTTGCTGAATGCAACAATGTGCAAAAGCCGCGTTGCAATGCTGCGCATTTCAAATGTGCAAACCCTCCTGAGCCAGTGACTCCAGCTTTCAAAGGGGCTCTCCACCGAATCACAAACAATTCGAAAGTGTATGGGATTCGTCGTCGCACCCCTGCGACCTCCTCCACATGGGGCGGCGGAGGCTGACTCGACTCGCGGGAAGAGCGGAGATACGTGTATCTCGTCTGACAGAAGCAATGATGGAGAATGATATTCCTTTTTGCGTTGGCGATATTAAGTCGCTCATTTTAACACGGCAGGACGGGACCTGCCAGGTCAGATGCACAGCTCGTTGGAACGCCAACCAAGAAAAGAACCATGTTACGGCGGTTCATAGGCACGGATGCATCCCGCACCTTTTGGAAGTACCAACGCCCAAATAGGGGGAGATTTCCAGCTTTGACGGAAGCAGAATCGCCGATGGATTTTCTGTACTAGGCAGGAATACTGTGCAGGAAGTTGCTCTACAGGTAGGCCGTGATCTTGGCCCACAATATGATTGGTCCCATATTCCATCGTTACACAGCGCACTGCCAACGTCTCTGGCAGCTCTTGTAGCACGGAGTTACACAGTAGAAATTGTCGAGGTTGCACAAAGCTGCAGTACAGACTGCCTGTCTGTTGCACTCTTACAGTGCAGTAGCCGTGGTTGTCGCGTCGCGTGCCTCCCAACTGTCGTTGCGGGTTCAGGGCTACGAAGGTGTTCGATGCCGTTAGACAAAATTCGAAGGTTTGGCAAAAACCACTGTGATGATACCAGCCAACAGCGGATTTCTTCTGTTGAAGTCCTCGGCTCTGTATGGCAGCCGAACATCGCCCAGAAAAACCTGAAGGGCTCTGTTTCCTCAGCTCAGATCTCGCTCGCGAAACAGGGGGCGCAAGAGAGGCAGATGCCCTCACCTCGTTGTCACCCGAGCCACGTGATGCCCAGCAGGTGGCACTTGCCCAGCTCGCCCGAACCACTTGGCGAGGGAACCAAGGAACGAGCCTCGCGCCCTACCTGAGTCACCAGGCTCGAAGTGGCCTTGGGGACGATTCTCCGACCAGCAATTGGGTGGTTGGTTGGGGACCTTGCTGACCAGCCTTTAACTTTAGGTATGGATTACCTGTCACTGATGCTGACATCGGTAACTCCTGTTACAAGGCTGCTTCCCGAGGTCAAGGTCAGGCTCCCTCGAGACTCACGGCTGTTTCAGGCTCGCGTCATGGTTTTTATATTAATGACAACACTACGCTTCATAACTATTATTCTATCATCATCAATGGAGCTACCAAGGTCTCAACCTCGAGATTACAACATCTACTGCTGGAACCCCTGGAGCCAGACAAGTTCAGGGATCTATTTAAATTTCTTGTGCTCAGTCACCAGACATTCACTGCATTCACAGAGAGTGCTCGGCACGCTCTCCTGCTGCCTGGTCTTACTCATCATCACACAATGTCTCATCCTGCTGATGCTCCTGCTCCGCCAAAGGGTCAGCGCTCGCGGTTGACCCCTTTTCTGCCTGCTCCAACGGAGACTGATAGCTCCAAGACTGTCAAGTCCCCTGCAGTTCATGGCATTGACAAGACGGTGTCGTCAGATTCTGGTGGTTCTGGACTGTCTGCAGAAGATAAAGCAACCATACCTTCCGTGGGAGTAACTGATGACGATGGTTTCATTGATTACGATTCGGATGAGGAAATGGTTATCGACTTGGACAAGGAAGCTGGTCTCGGTCTGCGCTCTGTCGCGATCTTGCTGATTCCTTTCATGCTGCACAAGGAGATTTCCTACATCATTGACGCTGTCAAAGCACTAATAACACATGGATGGTACACAGAGTTATCAGAGGACGCGGCATCTGCGACAAAGTTTCAGGAGATTAAGACGACATATATCGCCAAGACACGTTATTGTCGCCTGCAAGTATCGTTCAAGAAGGAGTCAGATGCGGAATGGGTGCGGAAAAAGGAAGTGATATATCAACCGCTGGCGAACAAGGGACAACTCATTTCTCTTCACTAGCAACATACGGAGGATGCGGCTTTTGCTCGTGAGAAGGCAATGAATCCGCTCGCCATCGAGTTCATGATCACCGGTGTCTCCGCAGCCGTTGAGCTGGTCCTCATTCATGATCGCATGGCGACTTACCCGCTTACCAGCACAAGGCGGTCGGCCTTCTTGCGCTGCTCGTGTCTGCATCGTGTGCTTCATCCCGTCACTGGTGCTGACACGGGCGTCGTTAAGGGACTTGTCTACGCTCACCCTGAGAACAGGAATCGTCGCATGATTCACATGATCGCTGATCCTGCTGACAGGGCGAAGAAGTTGCTCATTCAGTACCCTTCATTGACCTGCTCACTTTGTGGCGGCAAGCATTATGATAAGTATCACGATGCTTTTGTCACTGAGCGTCAGAATAATGTTAGCAAGTGGAAACTAACCCTTGGCAGTGTGCACAGACTTAACGGTAACAGCAGCAGTTTTCTTCTCGCCCTTTGTCGGCTTCGGCGTTCCCTCTCACGTACTAATCTCTCTCTGACCTCTCGCAGCTGCGTCGCTGAAAGCCTCCTCGTTTTTTCTTCCCATCCTCCGAGATCCGGCTATCGCTCTCGTCTCCACCGGCAGCAGCAAGGAAGACTGGATCTGCACTTTAGCGGGTTGCGGAAAAGCAAAAGGGAAGAGTCTTATGGCTGCCGTCCAGCACATCACTGCTGCTGCTCACCTGCTCGAGCTGAAGAAAGATGGACCGGCCACGAAGGAGTCGCTCGACAAACTGAACCTGGATGTCATTCGCACGGAGTACAAACTGTGACTGAGCTCGACCGTTACCTTGACGCAGCAGCCTGTTGGTGTTTAGGAGTCAGTGTAGCTTGCGTCGCCTCATTTCTCAGCCTGTGGATGATCAGGGGCTGCAAGACAGTGTATCAATGATTAATAAAAACCACCTCACCATCGCGAGCCTAAACGTCAACGGCTTAGGAACAAATAGAATAAAACAGGAGCGAGTTACCAAATGGATGAAAGATTCGGCGGACATTGCTGTACTGGTTGACACTAGGATAGATAATAGCCATTCCTTCTGGTCAAGACTCACCTCGTACGAAGCCTTAGTTAATCCCCCTAGAGCCAGCGCTGGCGGAGTAGCAATCCTCTGTAGCGATGATAACATCACTTTTCATGACACGGAGTTACACCCGTCAGGTAGAATAGTCAAGACAGCAGTTAAAGGGACTGGACTAGACCTCACACTGGTTGCCGTTTACCTTCCGTCACACATTACTCCTCGCTCCGCCTTCATCAGAGATGTCCTTGGCCCGGTCATTGACACAGTTCCGCCTTCCTCTCACCTTCTTATCATCGGTGACTTGAACCTGACGGACGATCCAAAGCTGGACAGATCCTCAGGCTCAGGCTCGTCGACTGAAAATGAGAAGCTCCTCTTGCGCTGCACCACTTTCCAACTTTCCGACGCCTTTCGCACTCTGCACCCACGGGACAGAGAATACACATTCTATGCGCACTCGCATCGCTGCAGCACTCGCATTGATCGTGCACTTGTCTCACAATCGCTTTTAACTCACCTTGTTACCGCCAGGCATGACATGCCGAAGGAGCCCATCTCGGACCATGGTTTCGCGATCCAAGTTGCTTTCCGTCTGGATGAGAAAATCTGCACAGGTCCGGGCATCTGGAGGCTTCATGCCTCGATGGTACGGAGGCCGGGAGTGCGGAAAATTATTGAGGCTACAGTTTGCAGAACGACGGTGAAAGATGGCAGCAGCTTTGAGCTCCTACTTGCTCGGCTGGGGGCGGGTTTAAGGGCGTATGCACGGGAGGAAAGCAAACGTGTTAAGAAAACACTGGGTCATCTGGTCAGCATGGTTGCGCTGCTGAAACAAGAGTTGATGCGGAATCCGACATGCAGTATTACACGGGATGCGCTTGCAGCTAAGGAACTGCAGCTGAAATCGTACCAGGAAGCGAGGAGGGAGAGGCTGCACCTGCAGGCCGGATTGAAAGAGGAGCTGACCGGTGAAATCGCCTCAAAACATCTGTCTGCAAAAGTCCGAGCGAAGAAGGCTCGCACTCAAATCAAGGAGCTGAGGGAAGGTGGTCGCACGGTGACTGGGGTGCAGCAAATTCTTGGTGCTGCGTCGGTCTTTTTCAATAACATCTTCGGCACAGACCGACGTACGGATTTCTCGAGCTGGGTGTTTAATCCAAGCCGGTGCTTGGGGAAAGAAGCAGAGGACATGTTAAAGGCAGATTGGTCAGAGCAGGAAGTTAAAGCAGCTTTCACATCAATGGCGAGGAACAAATCACCAGGGAGGGACGGTCTTCCCAAGGAGCTGTTCGAGTGTCACTGGGACCTGCTGGGGGATAGTTTCATGGCTATGGTCAAAGACTTCGAACGGTCAGCTTCGCTCCCGGGGGAACTCAAGGAGGCGGTCACGATCCTGTTGCACACGAAGGGTGACCGGGACCAGTTAAATAACTACAGGCCCATCACGCTTCTCAATTTCACATATAAGGTGCTGGCAAAAGTAATGGCGGACAGAATGAAGCGGGTCCTGCATCAATCTCACCGGAGCAGTATGGTTTT